CACTGACTGACCGGCCCCACGTCTCCCTGGGCCCCATCACTGACTGACCGGCCCCACGTCTCCTTGGGCCCCATCACTGACTGGCCCCACATCTCCTTGGGCCCCAACACTGACTAACCCGCCCCACGTCTCCCTGGCACTGGGCTGGAGAAGCTGGTCAGACCATGTCAGTGTCACAAGGCCACAAGCCAGTTAGCAGCAGCTCCAGGAGGTCTCGACTTCTCGCGTTTCTGCTGTCCCATGTACCACCTGTGAGCTTTGAGTTTGTTTCCTCTCGTCAGATGGGGTGATAGCAGACTTCTAAGGGTCTTACGAGTTTATGAGGATCTGGTGTGTGTAAAAAAAGGTTTAAACGGATGGGAGGTACAGGTACAGATGTGAGTAACACCTTTAACAGAAATCCAAGGTTTTACGTTAAAAGGTAATTGCAGGTAGATGGGATTAAAAAGTGTTCTCCGAGTGTGACTAATTCGTCATGAAATGCATCTTTCAAAAACGCCTGGGTATGACGTGTACGGTCCCACGTTGTGGGAAGTGCCTGCCTGCCGTTTAGTAAAACCCACTGGACGTGAGCTGCTGCTGGTTTCTGTCGGTGACGAAGTGAGGCCTCAAACGTCAGGTCTCGTGGGTGCTCGGTTCTTCGCTGGCAGCACCACTTGGGACCGGTTAGCCTGGCATTGGTGACAGGTTCCTTTCCAGCGCAGCCATGTTTCAGAAGACGGAGGACTGGCTGACTGACTGTGGTGTCCGGTTTTAGGTCTTGGAGACTAAGTGCTGTGTGTTGGCTTTGGGTTAGGGATGGGGTGGGGAGTGACCGAGGATGAGGGTCCATCCCTTTTCCCCTCCATGTCCTGGCTCCAGATAGCTGGCTAGCAGGTGAGGGCCTGTGTGAGTGAGGTCTCTTCTCCCAGGCCCATAGCTACTATCTGACAGATGGGGGGGCCTGAGTGTGTCCCATCTCCTTTTCCTGTCTGCTCTAGTATCTAAGGTGGCACTTGAGGGTCCCTCTGGGTGGGGTGGGGGCCTGCACTGAGCCTACCACGGGCCAAGGGGCTTTTCTGGGGCCGTGGCGCAGCTCTGCCTAAAGGGGGCGCCCTCTCCTTCCCCTCCGCCCTGCTGTGGCGGTGGCTCCTCCCAGTGAGTGCCCTTAGCATGTGCTCAGCTATGCCAGAGCGCCCCCTAGAGGCTTGTGAGCGCATGTGTCGTTTGCTCCCTTGGTGTGAATTCCTTTGTGTGTGTGCCCATGAGTGTGGGGTTCTGAGATTTCTGTGTGTGGTTTTTCCTCACCCTCCTTTCTCACCTGTGACCCATCAGATTCAGTTTATTGCCTTTTTCCCCCTTGGGGGCAATTCTTTTTTTTTTTCCTTTCTTCTTCTTTGCTGTCTTATTGGACACCTGTTAGCTGATTTTCTCGGCCCGTTTTCTTCCCATCTCAGCCGCAGGTCCATCTTGTGTGGTCCTCCATCTCTAGCGATCGCTCCTGGACAAAGAACAGAGCCTTCGCTGTAGCACATGGGCCAGTGAGCTGGGTCTGTTGGTGTTCGCCTCCCCCGCTAGGGAAGTCGTGGGCTTGTTACAGGAAATTTGTGTGAAGAACATTATAGAAAATCACCATCTTCAAGAAGTAGCTGTTAGCAGTTTGGTGTGTTCCCCCTTAATCTTTTTCCTTTTTATTAAATTATGAAACATTTAATAAGACATCAAATTTATAAAGAAAAATGAAGGCGAGTGCCCTCCCTTCAGGAGTGAGGCGGGCCAGTGTGTGCAGCGTTGGCGGTGCTCTGGGCTCCTCTTTACTCACCTCCACAGGCGCCGTGGCCTTGATTTCACCCCTGTGTATTTATGTACCTGTCTGTTCAGAAAACTGGGACTGTGGTGCACATAGTTTATACTGCTTTTCCCACTTAACCAGCAGAAGCTTTGCTTGGGGAAAAGAGTTGTTAGTGCATCCGTTGTTGGTAAAATGTCTTGTTTAGTGAGTGACAGTCCCTGAATATGCCACCCCCCGTTTTAAATAACTGCATCAGGATGAGGAGACTTGAACCCAAATCTGATTACATTGCTGGTGGTTTCTTCAGTTTAGAGTTCTTTTAACGTCTTTACTGGATCAAAGGAAATGAACGTTTTAAGGCCAAAAGGTTGTTCCGTTTACATTTCTGTGGGCAGTGTTTTTTTACACCTACTTTTTTGTTAATGATATGTTTTTCAGACTTTCTATTTTGAAATGACTTCACACTTAGAGAAGAGTTACAGCCACGGTAAAGAGAATCCCACGTCCCTGTCCCCCGACTCTGTAGTGTCACCTTTGACCACGTAGGCTCCACCTTGGGCGTGGTTGGAGGGTTGTCTCCTGACTCAGCAGTGAGTGCTGGTAAAAACAGCAGCAGCCACTTTACTCTGCCGGGCAAAAATGACATCTAACCTTACATTTCTGTATTACTAGTCAGATTGGGCTTTTTTTGTGTATTTATGACGGGGGGTTGTATATGTGTGATTTTTTTTGTTTGTTTCTTTTTAGAATTTTGCTATTCTGAACATTTTTTCAATCTCTTTTCCAGTTGATGGTTGTACCGTTAGAATAAAAACATCCAGCGTTTAGCAAGCATTGCCTGTGAACTTAATTAGCTCTGTTAAGTGTTTCCATAGATGAATCCTCAGGTCATGCAGAAAGGAAGCGTTGTTACTTCTGTTTTACAAGTAAGGAAACTAAGGCACAGAGACATTGAATAACTTCCCAAAGTCACACAGCACCTAGGACAGAGCTAGGGTTTGAACGCAGGCCATCTGGACCCTGAATCAGTCTTTTCTCCACAATACTAGACTATATATAATTTACTTAACTGAGATCCCCATTCTTTTCTTGTTTATAAGTAGGTCAGGTGAATATCTTTGTACATATTGAAGCATTTGCTCAGGTGTTTTCTTCAGACAAATTCATTTGTGACTACAAAAAGTAAAAGGAAAGAAAGAAGAGACCAAAATGGATGTCGGAAGAGATTTGAAACTTGCTCTTGACTGTAGAGTAGCTAAAGCGAAAGGAAGAAATGATGAAGTAAAAGAGCTGAACAGAAGATTTCAAAGGGCGGCTCGAGAAGACAAAGTACCAGGTAAAGTGTTACAATGACACGTGCAAAGACCTGGAGATACAAAACCAAAAGGGAAGAGCACGCTCAGCATTTCTCACGCTGAAAAAACTGAAGAAGAAAGTCAAGCTTCGAGTTGCAGTATTAAAAGAGTCTATGGGTGGAATATCAAGCAACCCAGGAAGCATCAAAAGAAGATAGGAGTACACAGAGTCACTGTACCAAAAAGAATTGGTCGGCACTCAGCCATTTCAGGAGGTAGCATATGGTCAAGAACCAGTGGTATTGAAGGAAGAAGTCCATGCTGCACTGAAGGCATTGGTGAAAATCAAGATTCCAGGAATTGACAGAATATGAATTGAGATGTTTCATCAAACAAATGCAACTCTGGAAGCGCTCCCTTGTCTCTCTCAAGAAATTTGGAAGATAGCTACCTGGCTAGTCAACTGGAAGAGAACCATATTTGTGCCCATTCCAAAGAAAGGTGATCCAACCGAATGTGGAGATTATTGAACTGTATCGTTAATATCACACACAAGTAAAGTTTTGCTGATAATCTTTCAAAACCAGTTGCAGCAATACACAGATAGTTGCTTCACTTATTATGATCCACACAAGCAGATGCCTTTGCTGCCAGCAGTTCAGGCTAGGTTCAGAAGAGGACGTGGAATGAGGGATCTCTTTGTTGATGATGTCAGATGGATCTTGGCTAAAAGCAGAGAATACCAGAAAGATGTTCGTTGTTAGGTGCTGTTGAGATGTTTATGACTCAGTGACCCTGTGTACAACAGAAGGAAACGCCGCCCAGTCCTGCGCCATCCTCCTCATTCCTAGTCTGTCTTAGTCTGGAAGCTGTAACATATTTGCCATGTGTGACCCTGCTGGTATTTGGGTACCAGTGGCATAGCTTCCAGCGTCACAGAACACACAAGCCCCCACAGTAAGATAAACTGGGGAAGATGTTTACCTGTTTTTTATTAACTGTGCAAAAGCATTTGATTGTGTGGATCATAACAAATTAAGCAACATCATGATAAACAGAGAAAAGATTGAAGTTGTGGAGGATTTCATTTTACTTAGATCCACAGTCGGCGCCCATGGAAGCAGCAGTCAGGAAATCAAATGATGTATTGCATTGGGCACACTTGCTGCAAGACTAAACTGTTAGAAAACGAAGATGTCACTTGGAGGACTAAGGTGCACCTGACCCAAGCCGTGGGGTTTTGGTCGCCTCGTAAGCCTGCGGAAGCTGGGCGATGATTATAAGGACTGAAGACTTGATGCCTTTGAATTACGGTGTTGGCGAGGAATATCGAACGGACTGCCGGAAGAATGGACAAGTCTGTCCTGGAGGAAGCACAGCCAGATTGCTCCTCACAAGCGAGGACGGCAAAGCTTTATCTCACATACTTTGTACATGTTCTCAGGAGAGATCAGTCCCTGGAGAAGGACATCATGCTTGGTAAAGTAGAGGGTCAGCAATAGAGAGGAGGACCCTCGACAAGATGGATGGACCCAGTGGCTGCAATAATCCCCTGAAACACAGCAACGATTGTGAGGACGGCGCAGGACCGGGCAGCGTTTCCGTCTGTTGTACACGGGGTCGCCGTGAGTCAGAACTGACTCGACAAGACGGCACCTAACAACAAATAGTAACTACTTGGTATACATCCTGTATTTTTTTTTCCTATTCTGTTTGTCTTTTTTCGGACTTGTGGAGTTCTTTCTAAATGAAGGATTGACTTGTGGTCCTTGTTGAGTTTTGCGGAGGCCCAGCATGTGCTTCCCTTTTTTCCTTCCCCTTCCCACACAGCTCGCCACGTTCGCCGTCGGCAGAGACAGCAAAACACAGGTTGACTGGCCGCGTCCCAGGGGAAGGGCGAGGAAAGGGCTGCGTCCCTGGTGCCTGGTTTCTTCTTCTGGACGGCTGTCTGATCTTCACCTCTCCCTTCTTCGTGGCAGGGGCTGGGGCAGCAGATAGAGGCTAGGATGTCTCATGGGAGCTTGGCCTCGTAGTGGGGGCCGTCCAGAGTGGGAGACATGCTCCCCCATTGGTGGGCTTTAGTGTTACAGGGTTTTTTCCCAATCTGTCACCTTTTTTTTTTTTTTAACTTGGTGGTGATGTTTTTTCCAGTAAAGAAGATTTTCTTGTTACGTGATCTGAGCCTATGACAGCATGCTTGGAGAAGAGCCGATTTCAGTTAGTACGGTGTGGTGCGTGAAGTATGTCGCTCGTTGTTTTTACATTTGAAGCGGTGCTAATCGTGAGCGTTTCTTTTCAGTCTTTTGTATTAGAGTTCCACTTTGAACCCAACGATTACTTCACCAATTCAGTCCTGACGAAAACGTACAAGATGAAGTCCGAGCCTGATAAGGCTGATCCTTTTTCCTTTGAAGGCCCTGAAATTGTTGACTGTGATGGGTAAGAAAAGGCGTTCTCACTTTCTTTTTTTTTTTTTTAAACAAAAGTAAGAAATGATTTTAGAACTTTGTAGGTGAAATAGAAAATAGGAAAAAAGCAAAATGTTTCATTTGCCCAGTAGATGAAGATTTAAATTAAGTAGTGTCAGTTTGGGGAACTTAATGTGTGATGTGTGAGGTTTGAGAGAGTGGTCCAGTGTCCTTGCTCTAATGAGAAGATCGAGTTGTATGTTCTCTAGACACCAGAAATGAGGTTCTGATCATTGACCTGATAGATTGCCCCCCACAAATAAATAACCTGAATGAATGCATGAGTCTGTGCATTGGAAATTGGTGGTGCTGTTTAATTGCTCTTTGAATCACGGCCCAGCATCTCGGTGCTTTCAGTCTCCATGATCACCAGGGAGAGACTGAGTTTAGAATTCATTCCCTTTGGTTGACTAGAGACTGTCTGGGGATTTTATCCTTCATTTAAAGCAGGTGTCCTTACTCACTGGAATCGAGCACTTCCCCTGAGGAATCTCCCCTTTATGGGCCTCAGAACATCATTAGGCGTCTGCTAGACTCAGATGGCAGATCATTTTGAAAGCTCAGACCCAGAGCTAGGCCATCATGTGACAAAGGCAGGTACGGTTCAGGTGCCGCCAGGTGTTCTGGTGTCCAGGAGGATGCACGTCCTTAAAAAGCCCCTCACAGAGGACTGCTTGGCTCGGATGCGGGTAGAGGGTGGTTGGGACTGGCCGTCAGTTATTTGCAGCTGGTGACCAGTTTCCTTTCTCCGACCTGTACTGCTCGCGTAGTTGCCTTGAGAATTCAGGGGTTGTGAGCCATCGGCCCAGAGCGTGCTCTGGGGCTCGTGCCGGGCGGTGAGCGCCGAGCTCTTGTCCGGCCCAGCCTTGACCGCACTGTGTCACAGAAGGCAGCCTGCAGCGCGCCCACGCGGCGTCTCAGGAGAAGAATGCAGCTGCGCTTCCAGGACCCTAAAGCTGGAGTCCCACCCACCCCGGCGGCGGGAGACCAGGCATTTCCCATTCACTGACCTTCAGGTGACCTTCGTAGACAGTTGCCCGCTGGCTGTACGGAGGGTTCGCTCAGTTTGCAGCTTGTTTTTTTAAAAAATTCTCCAGGTGTTTCACAGAGCTATACTTTACTTATTGTGTATACTTATAATTGATTTTTCCCGTGGAGCTGTGTGTCCATGATAGTTTCTTGCTGTCCTTTGTCCCTGTAGGTGTACTATTGACTGGAAGAAAGGGAAAAATGTCACAGTTAAAACCATCAAGAAAAAGCAGAAACACAAGGGTCGAGGCACTGTTAGAACAATTACTAAACAAGTACCCAATGATTCATTTTTCAACTTCTTCAGTCCACTGAAAGGTATGTCAGTTGGGTTGTTTGTATTGATTATGTACTTGTGTAGAAGGACCTCATTGACTTGATAGGTTCACAGCTGCCCCGAGAGCTCAGTCCTGTTCGCGGTCAGCGGGGAGGGCGCCTGTCTGATAGGTTCACAGCTCCCCAAGAGCTCAGTCCTGTCCATGTCAGTGGGGAGGATACCTGTTGTGAGTCCAGCGTGTTGAGCCGCTAAGGTGCAGGGTGGGCTTATAGGAGAAGGACTGACATCTTCAGCGGGAAAAGGGACCTGAAGTGAGTGCCCCACCTGGCCTGCCCTGCACCTGGATTCTGGAGAGTCCCCCAGGCCGCAGCAGGCACTTCTGAGCTTGCCTCCTTGGGCTCTCCGGCCTCTGTCTGCGTGGTGTCAGCCTCACAGCCGGCCTGCCCACGCCTCGGTTTCAGCTCCCAGCTGAAGGTGGAAGCCCTGCCTGGGCTCGAGAGTTTGTCCTAAGCGGATCTGATGTCGGTCTTTTTGTTGCTGGTGCATGGACTTGAGTGATCTGCCCAACCATGCTTCCCTCAAATTCTGTTGTCTGTTATGCTGTATTTGGTAGGGTACAAGGTTTCTTGGAATTTTTATATTGTTTCCTTTCCTTGTTTGTGTAATTGTAGAAAGAGGATTGTTCTTACTTGCTGTGAAGTCACTTAATAACTCATGGAACCCCATGTGTGTCAGAGTAGAACTGTGCTCCATAGAGCTTTCAAGGCTGTGACCTTTTGGAAGCAGATTGCCAGGCCTGTCTTCCCAGGCGTCTCTGGGTGGGTTCAAACCACCCACCTTTTGGATTAACAGTTTGTGCCACCCAAGGACTCTCTTGGAATTTCTGTGTTGACAAAACGAAAGTAGTTGGATTTCCATTTTTTTAAAGAGTTTGGTCAGAATCATATTTTGGAAGCTTCAGGATTTTTCCCCCTTTATATCACTATTACTCTTGCTTTATTTTTTTCAATTTCCACATGATAGAATAAAAACGAGACCTTTGAGTATGTGAAGGCTGAGCAGGTCGCTTTGAGAGTTACTTGGGAGTCTTGATGTGATGTTCTAACCATGACAGAGCGCTGAGGCCAGACTCGGCCACGTTCAAATAATGGATGTAGGGGGAAAAGTATTTTCTCAGTATTTTCCATGGACTGAAACGTAATTTGAAACGAAATAAAGCCAGCCCTGGTACAGATCATTGGTTAATGTTTGGGTTGTTTGTTAGAGAGCAAAGGATGGCAGTGGGGGAGGGGGTGGTGTAGGGTAGTCAAGAAAATAATCAAAATTGATGAAATTTTTTAGAAATGGAAGAGACAGTAGTTAGCTTGTCCAGCCTTTTTTTCCTTACAAAACAGGTCCTGTGGTGACCTGTGAACCCCAGTCAGTGACCCCTGGGAGATGCCTGTCAGGTGTTGACAGTTTTAGGTTGTCTCCAGACCTGTGCCTCAGACCCCGCAGTGACCTCAGCCGTGGAGCCGTGGACCTCAGTTCCTCAGCAGTGAACACGGTGCTGCAGCCTGCCTGGGGCAGCCCGGTGAGGGTGGAGGAGCAGTTACTGGTTCCCCGTGCCTGGAGGCCAGTCATCAGGGTGCCTTAGGTCCTCTCCTAGCAGGCCTGTGGGGCTTCAGGGAGGGCAGCCTTGAGTCGCTCAGCGCCCGAGGCTCCGGGGCCCCCAGAGTGAGACAGAGTAGAGTGAACTTCCAGCCCCTGACAAGAGTCGAGGCCCCAGAGCAGACACTTGAGAGTTGGGATCAGAGCCCAGAACCTCACTGGCGTGTCACTTGGCTTGGTTCAGTGTGGTTTCCGCCCCTGCCTTTCCGTCATTCTTTAGGGGCTTTAGTTCGGCACCTGAGCCTCACCGTCCAGTGAGGAGCTCCTAGCAGAGAGGAAGCCGCCCTGCCCACAGGGAATTTCTGTTCCGCGGGATTTCCATGCTCTGCTCTCGTTCCTCCTTTCTGAACAGATACGCAGCCGAAAGTCTCTTCCTACCTAGCTGAGATGGCATGTTAATTTTATTGTGATTTAGGTGAAAGTTTGCAAAGCAAATTAGTTTCTCATTAAACACCCAATACACAAACTGTTCTGTGCCATTGGTTGCCAACCCCGTGACGTATCCACACTCTCTCTCGCCTTCTCCGCCCTGAGTTCCCTGATTGCATTCATCCGGTTTTCCTGTCCCTTCCTGCCTTTTTGTCTTTGTTTTTGGGCTGGTGTACCCATTAGTCTCGTATATATGATTGAACTAGGAAGCACATCCCTTATGTGTGTTATTGTTGGGCCTATAGACTTGTCTAATCTTTGGTTGAAGCGTGAACCTCAGAAGTGATTTCAGTACTGAGTTAAAAGGGTGCCTGGGAGCCATACTCCCAAGGTTTCTCCAGTCTCTGTCAGACCAACAAGTCTAGTCTTTTTGTGTGTGTGTGTGAATTTGAGTTCTGTTTTACATTTTTCTCCTGCTTTGTTCGGACCCTCTTGTGATCCCAGCCAGAGCAGTTGGTGGTGGTAACCGGCACCATCTGGTGGTTCTGGGCTCCGTCTGGTTGTGGTAGTAGTGGTCCATTAGTCCTTGGGACTAATCTTTCCCTTGTGTCTTCGGTCTTCATTCTTGCTTGCTCCAGATGGAATGGGACCAGTAGATGGATCTTAGATGACCACTCGCAGGCTTTTAAGGCCCCAGTCACTACGCACCACAGTCGAATGTAGAACGTTTTCTTTGTAGACCGTGTTGTGCCAGTTGAGCTAATGTCCCCCGAGATCGTGGTCCCCAGCCCTCAGCCCAGTAGCTTGGTCTCTCAGGGCTTAGGGCTGTTTCCTTGTTTATGGTGTCATCACATACAGCTTTGCAGGACACGAGTCTCCACCCGAATGGCCACAGTCGGCCACCCGACACACCTTTCCGCCATTGATACTTTCCACCTCAGTAAAGTTTGGGTCTGTGCCCCAGCTCCAGCCTGCAGCTCAGGGCTCGCGTGGGGAAGGAGGGAGCGTGGAGGGAGCCGGGACAGCTTTCGTTCCAAGGGCTAGATATGTTCACGCCCAGGATGAAGTTGAGAAGACCCTGAGGAGGCCCACGGCTCAGGCCCTTTCTGTCGAAAAGCCTCGAGGTGTGAAATGCTCCGTTGTATCTGTCAGCTGAGCTTTCTGTGTGAGCTAATTTTAAATTTTTTGGTATTTAGTATAATATATGTTTTGTCTTGTTCTTTTATAGCTTCTGGGGATGGAGAATCACTGGTAAGATTTGTCATTAAAAGTCTTACTTTCTACGAAACTTTTTCCTGAGTAATCGTCTGCTTTTTAGAATCCATTCCTGCTCCCTAAAACCTGGTGTTAATTTATAATTACCGCACCTTTCTGTTGGAGAACAGTCTGAATTTCCCATGCTGGCCTTCACCTTCCGTATCAGATGTGTGTCCTTCTGACCATGCTTGGTGCCATGTGTTTGGGGTGTCAGTACCCCGACTCTGGGGGCCCTGCTCTGGTGTGGTCTTGCCTACTTTCCTCTCACTGTGCCCTGTCGGTTCCTTTAAAGCTGTCTGTTGTCACGTTAAGTGGTTTCTGCGTGTGTAGGGACGATCCCCCAGGAGGGAGGGCGAGGTTGGGTCGGGCTGAGAGAACGATGCGCTCACGTTTCGGTCTCCCTCAGGATGAAGATTCCGAGTTCACCTTAGCCTCTGATTTTGAGATTGGACACTTCTTCCGCGAGAGGATAGTCCCCCGCGCGGTGCTCTACTTCACTGGGGAGGCCATCGAGGACGACGACAACGTATGTGGGGGTGGGGGGTGATGTTGCCGCGAAGCCCGAGACTGTTGCTGCGTTATCACTGACGTGTGGTCACGGCTGCTCTCTGGTGTTTTGGTGGGAACTAGAGTAGGAGGGAAGGAGCCCTGGTGGCGCCGTGGCTGAGTGCTCCCTGCTAACCCAAAGGTTGGTGGTTCGAACCCACCAGCTGCTCCATGAGAGAAAGACTTGGCGATCTGTTCCCGTAAAGGTTACAGCCTAGAAAACCCTGTGGGGTGGTTCTGCTCTGTCACGTGGGGCCTCTGTGAGTCAGAATCGACAGCACCCCACAAGGACAGAAGAGGAGGGGGCAGAAAGGAACAGGAGAGCAGGTCCCCTGTGGGGTGGTCTTGGAGCCAGGTTACTGTAACTCTGCTCTGGTGACGTTCCACGAGACTGTCTGCGGCCCCAGAGGCCCGTCATCTCTCTGCATGTCCGGTACGCCTCAGGGACCTTCAGGCCTGGGGAGAAGCTCATTCGTGGAGGTCTGGCCCCACCACACGATGCTCAGTGAGGGGCACTCATGCTGGCCTGTGGCTTACCATGTAAAAGAACTAGAAGCCCGAGGTCCACAAGGAAAACAGCCCAACTGTGCGTGCTGCCTTTCTTTGTGCCAGAGGAAGAGCAGCTCTCCCACTGCCAGCCCTGGGGGTGCAGCCCAGGGAGCCCCACTCTCCGTCAGAGCCAGTGCTCAGGGCGGCCTGTGTCTTCCTGACGTGTGGAAGGCCGTGGTGTTCTGTGGCGTGGTGCTGGAAGTGGGCTTTAGATGATGCTTCTCCCCATCTCTCAGAGTCCCGTGGCCATGGCTGCTTTTAGGTGGCCCTTTGTAGGAGGAGCTCAGGCAGCCTGGAGTCACTATGCACCTGGGGGCGTCCCAGCTCTGCAGAGGAGCCCAGCGGAGGCCCGCTTCTCCTCACATCTCTCCTTACTCGGGCAGTTCAGCTTCTCCTTTCTAACTTGGGGCCTACCCACTCAGGCTATGAGGTGGTGGTGGGGTCGGGGAACGGCACACACAGAACGTAGCATGGCCTTCAAGAAGGTGTTTGGAGAATTGCTAGTTTAGATGACTTCTGGAGCAGCACTGTCCAGTAGGACTTCCTGCAGCGAGGGAACTGGTCTGTGCCTGCTCTGCCCAGCACGGACGGACATAGAATATGGCTCATGTGACTGAGGAGCTGAGTGCTTAATTGTAGCTCATCTTAGTTAAGTGGCCACACATTGGAAAGCACACCTCTAGACCAGTGGTTTCCAAGCTTTTTTGATCCACACTCACCAGTTAACATTTCTGAATCTGCCACGTATGCGTGTTTACTCATTTACACTGCGTGCAGCCAGCGCAGGTACTGACGTGAGCGGTGTAGCTTATTTGCTTTTAACGTACGTGTGCTCATTCGCGTATAATGTATTCAGCGCTTATACTGCCGATGAGCAGTGTGGTCCACAGGTTAGAAGTGTGAACTCAAGTCAGCCATTTGCATCTGAGCCCTAATTCTGCCACTTGGAACTGTGTGGCCCTTTGCGCCTCAGTGGCTTCATCTGTTAGAGGAGGTGGGGGAGTGGCCGTAGGGCTGCTGTGGGGTGAATGGGAACAGCACCCAGCACGGTGGGTGCTCAGTAAGCGCTGGTGTGGAAGTCGCTCTGTTGATGTTGGGTACGTTATAGATCACACGTGCGAGCTAAGATGTTAAAGGATGAAGTAAATAGGTTCCGATATCTTATTCCTGTGCTCTGACGGTTCCAACATGTTCGTCCTCTTGGGGTATGTGTGCCCCACTTTGGGAACCACTGCTCTAGACAAGTGTGAATATGACCCTGCAGCCCTCAGGTGGAGTCTTTCAAAAGAGAGCCTCCTTGAAGGTGAGGTGAAGTCCTTGGAGCCTCAGAAACGAGGCCTGGAGCTTGTCGGAGCCTTGTTCACACCTGGCCTCACACGCCCCCAGAGTTGTTGGCTGCAGGACCCTTGAAAGCCTTCTTCCCCAAAGTCCAGGCCCTTTGGGGCAGGATGCTTAGCGAGGGAGGGAGGGGGGATGGGCTGCTTTGTGGTCAGAGGCAGGCAGGAGAGTGCTGCCGGGCCCCTGGGCGCCCTGCAGGGGTCTTCTGAGCTTGTCTCTAAAGCGCATGTGTGCAGGTGTTCGGGGACGGGGCTGCTTGTCAGCAGAATGGCCGACCTGAGTGGTCGGGTGTCCTGTGTCAGTTGGGGTTGGGTTTGGGTCTAAGCCTCCCGTTTGAAGCGTGAGCGGAGTCTGACTTTGGAGAAATGAATTCAGTACCCCGCAGCTCCAGTGTGGGAGGCTCCTAGGAGCACTGGAGTTTTGATTTATTTTAGAGATGAAACTCCACGGCTTCATTGTATGTCTACCAAGCAAAAGTTTCTTTTTCCCCGGTATGAGATGGCAAATAAAATCAGGTGGAAATTCCTGTATGTGGTATGGTTGTGCTGCTGGTTTGCTTAGATCAGCCTTGTAGAAAATTGGAAGGAAACAGACTCATCATGTTGTAAAAACCTGTTCCTGTCTGCCCACGCTGTGCTCTGGAAGCGTGGCGGGCAGTCGGCGGTGGTGTCGCAGTGGGCCCCAGCGCCCCTGGGGCCTGGGGGTGGTCCCCGCCTGCTGGCTCCTCTGTGTGGTCCCATCCCCACTCTTGTGTGGGTGATTGTCGGGTACTGGGGACCCGTTACAGCAGCAGGACTCACACACCTGGGACCCCTCGGTCCAGGCCGGTGGGGTCCGGCTCAGGAGGTGTGGGAAGGAGCTGTGTCTCGGTCGGGTGGCTGCTGTGTTTTAGAAACTTAAAGGTGTTTGTTTTGTTTTTTGTTTTTTCAGTTTGAAGAAGGCGAGGAGGGAGAAGAGGAGGTAAGAAACAGGTCAGGGAGACATGGCCATGTCCCTGCAGCATCGTCTCTATGGATTTCTCTGCCAAAAGAAAAATACGCTTTTTCAGGAATATGTTCATTTCAGGGTTACCTGTGAGAACAAAAAAACTCCCCGGATGGTCTAAAGTGTCCGTACGAAGGAAGTGATTCAGTCAGTCATGGGTGGCAGTAATGGATTCCTTTTCAATGGAAACGTTGCTCGGGTTTGTTCGTTGTGAAATGGCAGTCGTGTGCATCCTGCCTGTTTGGTCCTTTCCCCACAGGACTTGGAAGGTGACGAGGAAGGCGAAGAGGATGAGGATGCCGAAATCAACCCCAAGGTGAGCGATTTGGGGGACACCCAGCAGGGGGTGCTGCGCTGTTGGACCTTTCACAGATAGTTTGCACCTTGGACGTGGACATGGGGGTGTGAAGAGTTCGCGTGTGTCATTCGTTAATTAGAAAACTTAAACTGTATCAGAAAAAATGGGGGAATATTCTTGCACCTGATGGATGATTTCATGAAGTGTTGAAGTATAAATAATTGGTAAAAAGCGTTCCTGAAATCTTTTTAAAGCGCTGTGTTGCTTACGTAACTTGTTCTGTAAAGCAGCTTTCTTTTCCTGCCCCGACAACGTGGGTGAATGTTGTTGTTCTGTTAGGTTTTGTTTGTTTTTGAAAAGGTGCAAAGCAGAGTCTCGGGGTGGGGAACAAAGGATTATTTTTCAGTAGCTGCAATAACGACATCGTAGGCACAGTTTTGCAGTTGTATTTGGGCTACGAGTTCTCAGAAGATATGTCTACAGAGAGATGTATCTGATTTAATCTAAAATAAACTAGTAAAGCTATGCTATAGGAAACAAATCTAAACAAAGAGTCTACACCATCCCGTTAACGATGCCTGTAAGTCTGAGTGTTCATGGCGCTGTCACACCAGCTGAAAATCAGCGTGCTTTTCCGTTTAAATTGTATTTTAAAGACCAGAACTACTTTAATGCAGCCCAAAGCTGTAGTGAGAATTTACTCTGATTTTCTAGCATGAAATTGTTTATAGCTTCCTTGCATCTTAGAATTCAGTGTATTGTGGGCTGTCAGAATGCTAATTAACATTACCTGGCTTTTTTGTAGTATGTCTCTCTAGGCATCGTTTGTTTGTCTGTCCGTCTGTTTGTCCGTAGCCCTGTTTTCTGCCCACGGTGGACTGTGCGCTAAGCCGTCAGCACCACCACCTGGCCCCACGATCGGTGTGTTAACTCTAGACCTTCCTGAGTGCCCGGTCACTGTAGGTCCTTCAGGGAGGGCCAGGAGGGGGGACAGCTGGTGTCAGACTTCCGAAGCACGAGCCGTGTGCTCCTCTGGGAACAAGGGCATGAGAAGGTGCGCTCAGAGCCGAGCTGTCAGTCACTGGTGTGCTGGATGGGGTCTTGCTCCACGTGGTCGGTGGGCATGAAGACAGGCCTGTCCATTAACTGGTTGACAGGCTCTGTGATGATGTCACCTCACACTGCTGTGATGCTGTTGGATCGACCTGCGTGCCAGCCGTGCTTCTTTGGCTTGTTCTCCTGCCCTCCGGGGCCCGAGGGGCTACATGCCAGCTTTGATCGTAAAGCCGAGGCCGTCTCCACGCCTTGCAGTCACACCTTTGGGTCTGTCTCAGGCCCTTGTCTGGCTGGCAGCTGGCACTCTGCTCCTTCGGGGTCTTTTTGTTGTTGTTTTGTCTGCTCTGCTTCTCTTGTGTTGCCTTGCCACATCTGCTGTCTCCTCTCACGTCACCTCCGTTTCTTAAAAGCATTCTCGCGAGTCATAAATACTCTCGTGGTCTCAGATGGGATTGATGGTCAGGGTCAGTGAGGAGTGCCAGAAAGGACTCCCAGCCGCACGCGGTCGGACAGGACTCGGGTCACAATGTGGTCGTTCTGTTTCTTCACGCTTGCTTCTTCATGGTGCCCCGTGATATGAGGGTCTGCACAAGTGGAAGGGACGTTTTGGTGGTGGAAACAGTCGGTTGTAAGTGAAACAAATGTTTTCTGCCCGTTCGTAAAGATCCCGACCCGGGGTGTTGCAGTGACTTGTCTTGGGTTGAGTAGTTAGTAGGCAGTTTTTTGGGATCAGGAGAAATTGTGGCTGTTCCTCCTGTATGATTTTGTGTATTTCATTTTCTTTCATGCTGACAGTTCCTTTCATTTTTTTCCCGTTTAGGTGTAATTTTTGTTACTCATTCATGCGTTTCTAGGTAAGGTGGCATTCCATTCATATCTACTTTCCAAGCTTCTGATCTGTAACTTCCTACACTCTGCTGCCTTGGCTCTGGGTGAGGAGGACAGCTGGTGTCCAGGCACATGCAGCACTGTCCTCAGCAGCAGGCTTTGTCCCGGGCTCAGTTGGGTTGCTTTGAAACAGGGCCCCTGAACGGTTCAAACAAACACGGCAGGTAGATTGGGCTTCTGCTTTCTGAACCCCGTGTTTCTTGCTAACCAAGCAGCAAAGACGCCACTTGTGTGGCCTTTCCCTTGAAGGGAGAGGACAGAGGAGAGGGGCCCAGGGGTGTCAGCCGCCTGTGGGGTGGCCCACACACAAGCCCCATGTCCTTTTTAAGACCCCACTGCATTAAGGGTCCTTAGCCGGATTGGGCTGCATCTCGATGGGTCGTCACTCACTCCCTGTGGCCGGCCCGCACCAGTTCCTCGAGTGTCTCTGGGCGTGTGTTGGCTGCTTATATTTCTTCAGTTTGGGTGTCGTGTGAACGAATAGGTATGTACAGACGAGTAACCAAATATTTAACAGGGCAGAATTTTTCACCTAAAAAGCTGCTGGCATCTGTTTTAGTGTGAGGTTGATGGAGAAGCGTGCTCTGGCTGAAGAAGAGAAGAACCAGCTGTAGACTAAAACCAGTGTCAGCTGCGTGAGCCCGCCCTCGGCCCTGCGTGCTGCGTGAGGGCACCTGCGTGATGGTGCCTGTGCGTCTGGAATGGGCTGCCAGCTCAGACGGGAGGGGAGGGAGGCTGCGGCCACTGTTGATGCCCTCGCTCGTGGGACCACCTCAAGTTGCAGGGCGCAGGGGCATCATGGGAAGGGCAGAAGTGGGAACAGGAGATGCCGTGGGAGGGGACGGGGCTCTGCCCTGTTGCCCCAGAGTGGCACGGGAACCCTAGTGGCCAGGCAGACCGACGTCCTGAGAGTCTGCCTCAGTTCTCACTTCTCTGGGCTTTTTTCATAGAAAACAAATAGGCTGTTGGCAGATTTGGGCCTAAAAAACATTTTGATTAGATGAAATCAACATGCTTTTTGTCTCTTAATACTATGTTTTAAAGGGCTGCGCCTGATCATTTTACTGGCTAAAATTATGCCCAGTTGCCATTGATTCTTACTGCCCCTGGAGGTCTGAAGAACTTAGCAAACTGTGGCCACTCTTGTCTCTCCTGTGCCCGGTTGTCACATACGCTCTAGTGGAAGGGAATGTTCTGTTTTCAGACATGTTGATCACCTCTTGAGCCGCGATCCTGGGTGCGTGCGTAGGTGGTGGCCCGTCTCTGCCCCCTCCTCGGATTGACTGGTCTCTGTTCAAACCCCTTCCTTCTTTCTCCGAAATGGTCCCAGGATGAACCAGGGTTTCTCTCCCCGTCCTTGCATATAGAAAGCACCGTCTCCTGCTGCCTGGGTGATCACTTAGCACTGAGTGGCCGGGTCCTCATCACACTGGGGACATGACTAGAGGCTGCACAGCTGTGGTTTTATTTAGCCTGTGTCACAGGCCAGAAACCACAGGCGTCTCTACACCATGCGTCCCCATGTGCAGATGCTCTGGGCTTCTGCCCATGTGGGCACTGTCCTCAGAGCTGGCACAGCTCGCAGCAGGTGTCCCACCACTCGCTCTTCCTCAGCAGGCCAGTGGGCAGAGCCAGCGCCATCCTGCCCAGAGGCCCTCGGGCCTCGGTGCTTGCCCTTCCCTCTTCCCCTCTCCATCTGACTGGTAAGGAGAGGCCCACAGCGTGGGCACGCTGGCCCGATCCTGAGCACCTCCCTCTCCGACAGCCCCCTGGTGGTCATGTTTGCTTCCTGTCCCTTCCGATAAGGACTGTGTCCCTCTCACCAGTTCTGGTTTTCTGTAAGAAGAGAGGATAAGATAATCTCACGGTTGAAAAAGCTGTGTAACTTACGCAGTATAACATATGTTCCACAATAGATTGTGTCTGTGATTTAGAGGTGACAGAGAGTAAAAAGTCTCTTCCCACCCGGTGTCGTCTGCCCCAGTTCCCACCGTGTCCCCCCTACAAAACCACTTCATGAGCTTCACGTTTGCAGATGCCCACGTGGAAATGCATGCACTTTCCTCTCCGGCTGTTGTTGGTCTGAGCCAGGGGGACTCCTGCTTCCCCCGGGCCCCCAGCCGGAAGTCCCTGGCCCTTGAATGTTGGGTGGACAGACGTCACTTCTCTTCTGTAGGCCTGTTGGCCAGGCTGATTTTGTTTTGGAGCCCAGGCTCCTGGCAGTGCTCAGCCGCACCTGTGACAGGCAGGAGTGGGGAGGCCTTCCCAGAGCGGCCCGTCATCGCCCCTGCTGAGAGCTGGGCCAACGTGTGCGCCCTGGAGTTTTCCAGAGCTCTTTGCATTCCGCTTACAAGAGGCGGACTCGGTGTCCAGGGCAGTCACTTGTCCTCTGTGCTTCCTGCCTCATCCCAAGAAGGAGCTGGAGGCCCAGCGTGCACCGTGGCGGGTATCGGCTCTGTCCTCCCGGCCGGCCTTTGGAAGCAGGAAGCGCGGGTGTCCTATAGGCTCCACAGGCGTGCCGGGTGCTGGTCAGAGTAATTGTCATCTTCGCAGCCGGGAACCAGAGGTCACAAGGTCACACAGAAGTGTTAGCAGAGCAAGTGTCTGTGCTGGTGCCCACGCACAGCCCGGGTGCTGACGTGGCTTAGGCCTTGTTTTTCTCCGCCATCAGCTCCTGCTGTGAGGTGCACACATTAGAGAGTATGTAGTCAGTCCGCCCCTCTAGGGGAACCCCTTAGAGGAAGGCCAGACCATCCCTGGGGCCCCGTTTGTGACGCTCCTTAGAGTAGCCTCTCGTCGCTGGTTGGAGCAGTTCCTGGAGTGTGGGTCTGCTCGGTGACCCCCTGAGTGAGAAAACGAAGCTCCCCCAGAATAGATGCTTCCACTCCCATGAGCATCTGGGGGCCTCAGCGGGGCTGGCTTACTCCTCGGCCTGTGGGTGGAGGGTCAGAGTTGGTGGGCAGCAAGGGGCCAGCCCTGTGCGCGCAGTGGGGCCTCTGTGAGGGGCAGCCCTGTAAGTGCTGACAAGACCGCGGGCTGCAGGGAGTGCAGGGGTGAGGCGCAGAGCTTCCTGACACTGATCCCTGCGACCCCACGGCCCTCCCTCTGCCTGTCTCTTACTCTGTGGTCAGTGTGTCTTTAAACAGGCAGCCCCGGTGTGACTTCTGGGCAGTTAGCTCTGTCTCTGGTTGCTGTTTGTAAAAGTACACCTGCAGTGAGCAGTGTGTGGCTAACGAGAAGGTGGACTCTTCTCTGAACGGCCCATCCTCTCTCGTTCGCAGAAGGACCCCAGCCAGCCCGCCGAGTGCAAGCAGCAGTAAGAAGCGCACCTCTGCGGGCACCGCTGGACCGTCGGGGACGCCTCAGCCACCGCCACGGCGCATCCGCATTGACAGCGCTCACACCTAACGTCTTCCCCTGTGCATGGTTTTCACTTACCTTTCCCTTTTTCTTTATTATTTGGCTTAACTTGTACAGTGGCAACTTGATGCATTTCAAAAGTAGGAGGCTCCGTCCTGCACTTCGACCACCTCTGCACCCTGGGCTCAGTGAGCTTCTGGCCCTGCCCTCGGGGCCCAGAGAGACCATGCGGGTGGGCAGGCTGGGGGGGTCGGCGCCCGGGAGCCAGTGCACCGCCGTCAGCTGGCCGTGATGCTCCCCTCTCCTGTGAGGGAGCCCCGGGGCGGGGTGCTGGCCACGGAGCGTGTCAGCTGTTGTGATGTAGGGGAACCGCCCGCCCAGAGCAGGCACCCGGAGCCAGGTCGCGCTTCCTTAGGACCTTCTGCTTTCCTTTGGTTTGGCGGGGTTGGGGCAGGGGCGGGGGCGCACACCAGCTCCCAGGTGATAGCTTTAGTAGTTCATTTTGTATTTATTTATTCATCCATGTTTGTAAGGCCTTTGAGCTTAGGCTGTGGCTCGTCCTGACGATTTCTGAAACCGTGTTGTGACAGCAGAGCTGGAAGATGGGGCGTCCGCGGCGGCAGCGCGGCCTCTTGTTGAGGAGACCGGCTGCTCCTGCCGACGGTTCTGGACAAGGGGGTGTGTCTGTGCATGCAGACCGCAGCTTGCTGTGAACGTCGAGGGCCTGTAGCCAGAGCATCGGCAGCTGTTAGTCCCCCAGCGGTGGCTGAAGGCTTGGGCGGAAAGGCTCTCAGCCGAGCATGTGAACATCGAGTCCTGGTTTGTCAGGGCTGCCTCCTTCCCGGCTCCACCGTTGGTTTGGTTTCAAAGCCCTGGATTCGGTGGGACCTGCCCTCGACCAACACGCAGGGCTCCAGAGCATGTGGCGGCCATCTGTGCAGTGGAGTCCCCGCGGCCAGGCGTGGAGAGCGTGCCTAGCCTTAACCTTACAGTACACATTTGTATCTTACTACGGTGTTTCAATTTGTACAGAATAGTTAGAATATTCTATTAAAGTTGTGAAACATGAATCGGCCCTGGACTGCCATCTCTCTCTTTGGGGGAATGGGGGGCGGGGGGGCGTCCTCTGCTCCTCTCCCAGCGTCTCCCGGATGTGGGTGGTCACAGGCTCCGTTGGCCTCTTCCTGGGTGTTTGTGAGATCCAGCCCCTCCAGCCCAGCTTTAGTGCTGAGGTTCTAGAACGAGTGTTCAGGAAGCAGCTGCGGTCACTTGCCCACCGGACTTGCCGTGTCTCCTCCACTCAGGTCCTCCCTGGGGGGGAGGGGCTTGGGGCCCTCGGGGGACGTTTGTCACAGTGGGAGAGACCCGTGTCTCCAGGTTATGAGTCACTCAAAGGTTCCGGGAAGGGACTTCCCACATGAAACCCATGTTTGATCTGTCTTCTCGCTACTGCTTTTCTGATTTCTCCTCCCTCCTGTAATAAGAGGAAGCACCCCACCCAACTGTGGGAACTGCCGCCCTCGCAGGCCTGGCACGCTCCTCCCTGGCTCAGGAGCTGGGGGAAGGGCTGAGTGGGCTCGGGAAGGACATGCTGGCAAACTGGAGCAGCTGTAGAGCTGGGGTGCCTCCACTCAGGTCCACCTCCGGGAGTCTGTGCCATCCTCGTCCCATCCCAAGGGAAGTACCCAGGCTAGTCTTCCCCGTCACAGTGCCCACGGGGGTCCAGAGTCCAGGGCAGGTGCTCACAGCCCTGCGTGCTGTCCCGTCAGCTCCATGCCTGTGGTGCCGCTCAGGAAGGGCCCACAGACTCATGGGGAGCTCTGGCGTTGTCACCCTGCCTGGCCCACAGGCCCTTTGAGCGTCAGCCTCTCCTGGGGCGGGTACAGTGGATCCACAAGGAATCAAAGGCCGAGAAATGATTGCGTAACGTGATGTACTTGGGTAATTTGTAGGGAATTACCAGGGCAGTTGTGGAGCGGGGACGCATCGGGGTGCTCCTTTTCGAGGTCACAGTAGGCCCCGGACAGCTGGCGCTGGAGCCTGCCAGTGTGATTTCCACAGGAAGCTGGGACCCCCACCAGCAGCCAGGCCGTGGACCACGTTCCCTAAAAAAACAGTGAAACGGCTTTCAGGCGCCCTGAAGGTGGGTGTCTACCACCTGATAGCACTGGGCTGAGGCCTGGAGCCTCCCCCAGTGCAGTTCGGCCGGATGGTTAAAGGGGACACAGGTCACCTTCGACGGTGATCCAGGCGTCCGAGTCCACGCGCCTGTGTACATGGAAGTGAGCGCAGGGTGCTTGCTAGGGTTTGAGGTGGTGGAGGGGGTGCCTCCTGATGGCACATGGACATGTGGATGTGTGCACATGTGCAGGTGCGTGTGTGACACGTGTGCGTGCATGTGGACATGATGTGCGTGTGGACATGCATGTCCACGCGTATGCAGGTGGTTCTCTCTGGAGGGTGTGCAGAATCTGATCCAAGGAGGCGCCGGGGCCTGAGGGAGACAGGCCCCCCTGCGCTTGTTTCTGGCTGATTTGGAGGCGTGAGTGTGGTCACTGAATGCTCCGTTTCTATCAGACTAACAGATGGGAAGAGGGAGGAACGTTTGAATTGTGACCTTCCGGGGGCGGGCGGTATTTGGTTTTATTGCTCCCTTATACCAGGACGCCATAGCTATTGGGGGTTGCATCCGCTTATGGAGCTGTGTTCCCCATCTGCCACCATCACTGCCGCCTGGCCCTCCCCCACTTTCAGCGTACATCTTCCCGGCCAGGGCCTGTCTGACCCCCTCCCCACGGCCATGCCCCTTCCCTGCCGCACCGCGAGTGCCTGGCCTCTGCGTCTCTGAATGAATCATGTCTTCGAGAAGGATCGGCACAAAGCTGCCGCATATGAGGCAGAGGCTAAAGATGTCCCGGACTCTTCAGTCTGCTCTTGCACTCAGTCGTTTCTAACATCACCCGTGCCCCCTCCCATCAGTCCTGTCCCTTCCGTCTTTGGATATAGTCCTTGATCAGGACAGTTTCCTCTCGCCCTCTGCTGCCGGGCCTTGCTGTGGGCCTTCTTGGGCAAGTGTTACACCTCTTAGCTCTGCAAGCTATTAGAGCCCCTCGATGGGCCACAAGCCCCTCATTTGCATAGTTCTTTCCGGGCTCAGGGACTCCCAGGCCTCACAGGCTCTGATGCCCCAGGACTTGGGCTCCCGGGGCTCCGAGGCTGCGGGGGTCCCCAGTCCCAGGCTTCTGGCTGCTCTGTAGAGGCCCTGCTGTTGTCCCCGTCAGTTGTCCACGGCTGAAAGTGGGGTGATTTGTGTATCGCAGTACATCCAGACGGTGGAACACTACCTGTCACCAACACGGCTGAGTCTCGAAGGCGCTCACTGGAGGAAGCCCACCGCAGACGAGGACGGGCTGCCGGGAGAGACTGGCGTGGGGCGCGGACCAGGGGACCTTCTAGGGGGTGGAAGTAGCCGCACAGAACTCACCTGACTTCCTTAAAATGAGCCTCTGGCTGTACGGGACTGCTACCTCAGTAAAGCTTGTTTCTCAAAAGCTCGCCAAATTCGGGTGCTTTCACCTAAAATCCTCGTTTTCCCCTTGAGTTTTCAGGGCCAGGGTTTGGCCAGCAGCTGATGGGACAGGCTGACCGCCCCCTCATCCACCTTGCTCCGCCCTGTCCACTGGGCCGCCCCCTCATCCCCCTGACCGCTGCTTCATCCACCAGGCCGCCCCCCCGTCCACCTGGCCACCCCCTCATCCCCCTGACTGCCCCCTCATCCACTGGGCCACCCCCTTGGCCACCTGGCCGCCCCCTTGGCCACCTGGCCGCTCCCCTGTCCACCTGACTGCCCCCTCATCCACCGGGCTGCCCCCCCGTCCACCTGGCCGCCCCTCGGCCACCTGGCCACCCCCTCAGCCACCGAGCTGCCCTGGGTCTGTTTCTGGCATGTGCCCTGTTGGCCACTCCCCTTTGCCAGTTCTGTCCCCATTTTCCTGTGGGGGCCTCGTGCCCTCCTCCAGCTGCTTCGCGGCCCCCGCCCCTGGCTTAGGCCTTCCTGCCATCCCAGCCCTCCCAACTTCCCAGTCCTGGGTCCCTGGCTGCATCCAGCAGAAGCTGGGCCAGCCTGGGTGAGGTGTTGGGCAAGGGAGGGGCCCCCCATCACAAGATGACCACTGGGGTGGCGGGGGTGGCACTCTCACCCTATAGTGGTGGGTCTCCCTGCTCCAGCTGCCCTTCCGCCCCCGGGCTGGGCCCCCAGGAGCAGCAGGCAGTGTCGGTGAGTAAGAGGGGGCAGCAGAAGGGGGCCTGCAGCTGGGGCCCTTGGCCCCCCACCAGCCAGCTGGCCTGCCACAACGGTGGACTTTGGTCCCTGCTGCAGCTTCTGGGGCAGAGTGACCCAGGACTTCCTCTGGAGGCTGACACCCAGGCCCTCCCTCAGGACCAGGCTAGCCATGTGGGTCAGTCGTCAGGACACTCAGGGGAAGGCGGCCCCACTGGCCTCCAGGTGGCTGCCGAACCTCCGATGCTTTGGGTTTCTGTCGTCCTGCCAGCCTCTGGCCCTGGGAACCCCCAGCCCTTCCCAGGGGCCACACCTGCAGGGCTGTGGGCGGGGCCGGGCTGTCCACACAATGCCAGTCACCAGTCCCACCTGGCCAGGCTGACTCAGCACACCGGGCGGGTGGTGGCCGGATGTTTCTCTTCATGACAACCCCACACCCTGGCCTGGCCCAGCTCGCCGGGCCTCCCCAGCCCAGGGCTGCTCCTTCCGGCCATGCTGGGCGCAGCCGGGACCCTCTTCCGCTCAGCCTGCACCCATCCCCAGGGCTCCTCAAGAAGTCTGCAGTGCCTTTTTTTTTTTTTTAAACACTGATTTAAAAGTGCCTTGACTTTGTTTTTGTACAACCTTGACTCAGATTTTCTTTTTAAATAATACTGTGTTTTTGGTAAAAGTGTACATAGCAAAACAGGTTCCCTTTCGACAGTTTCTGCACAGAATGTTCAGTGACAGTGGTTACTTTCTCCCACTGTGTCAACATTCTCGTTATTGCCGTTCTGGTGGTTTCATTTCCAGTAAGCTAGTCTCCCCTGGCCCCTTATCTTTGCTTTGGAGTAATTGTTGGCCATTTGGTCTCATATAGATGATTTTTTTAAAGAGCACAGTACTGCAAAGTGATCCTCCTTATGAGCTCACTTGCTATTTAGTTAAAAGGTGACTTTAGGGGATAGTTTCTGTTCACAGTTTAAAGAGTATCTTGGCACCAGTCTCAGGGATTCCTCCAGTCTCAGTCCAGTAAGTCTGGATTTTTTGAGAACTTGGAGTTCTGTTCCACGTTTTTCTCCCTTTTCTCAGGATTCATCTATTGTCCCTGATCAGCTCTTTCGGTCGTGATGGTCGGGCACCATCTAGTTCCTCTGGTCTCATGGTGGAGGAGGCCGTGGTTCATGGAGACAGTTCATCCTGTAGTCCGGTCCCTTCTCTGATTCTTGGGTTTCCGCCGCCTCTTTTGCCCCACACGAGTGGAGACCAATGGTTGAGTGTTACTTAGATGGCTGCTCGCAGGCTTTTCAGACTCCAGACACGACTCACTGAGGACTTGCACAGACAGGAACATAAACTATGAATTATATTATGCCAGTTGACCACGTTGTCCCACCAGACTGTAACCCTAAGTCTTCAAACCAAGAAAATGATTTCCTTGCAGTTCTGGAGGCTGAGAGGCTGAAATCAAGGTGTCAGCAGGCTGGGCTCCTTCCAGAGGCTCTGGGTAGGATCCTTCCTGGCCTCTTCCAGCTCCTGCTGGCCCCGTGGCTCCACCTCTGCCTCTGTCTTCATGTGGCCTTCTCCCTGTGTTTGTGTGTAATTCCCTTTGCCTCCCTGTACAAGGATACATGTGATGGCATTTAGGGCCCACCTAGATCATCCAAGAGGAACTCTCCAATCATATTCCCAGGGTCTGGGGGCTAGGCGTGGACATACCTGTTTGGGGCCGCCATTCAGCCCACTACAGGTGTTTTTCAAACAGACGCAGGAAGACGAAAAGGAAAGATTAGGGTACAAGGGTGTTCGTGCAG